TATTACGTCACCGCGCGGTGGTGGCACGTCGGCCGCACTTCCGATCTGGGGCTGGCAGAAGCCGCCATGGGGCACCGGCATTCTTGTGTTACTTTGGACGAAAACAGACAAAAACCTGCCTTCTCGTCAAAACGCCGCGACTGGGGCCGTACCAAAAGTGTCGAGAAAGGTTTGAAGGTCAGTTTACATACGTTTTCTACCTGCTCGGTTTGTGCGAGAACGTGGACAGGGGCCGTCGGACCACGATTGCTTGGGCGGGAAGCACTTTAGATTGAACTCACGGACACTTTTGGTCGTCAGATTTATTTGTTTTGTTCCAACATGAACGCGAGAAAACCGTCAAGTTGCACGGACCACCCGCGGATTAAGTTCAGTGCGTCATCACGTTCAAACGGCCGCCTCATCGTTCGAGCTGTCGTCTGCTCTCTCAACAGTGTTGGGTAAAGTACATTTATAAAGTACTTCAAGTAAAGTACGAAGTAAATTAAAAATTATGTACTTCAATTGAAGTAGTAAGTACACTGAGTGCAGGGATGGGCAAAATACATGCAAATATGTATCGAAATACAAATACAAAGTACTTCGTCAAAAATGCATTTAGTTACAAATCTAATTACATTTCCGAAAAAGCATTTAAGTTGAAGATATGAATACAACCAAATGTATTTGGTCTCCTCCAAATACTTTTCCAAATACATTCCTCAAAATTTGCGTCAGCGACTTCAGGGTACCTGCAACGGGTTTCTGGTTATCTCATTTTAATTTTGCATCACACATTAGGGAGTTAGTGTGCGAGGCTCTAGTAACGTAATAGAATATAATCATTAAATAAAATGTAATCAGCTTGGACGTAATAGGTGAAAAAAGTACAGAGCTTCAAGCAGCTTTTTTTTTTTGTCGATTACATTTTGGTATAGGCCAACAAAGAACTGATACGACCAAGACGCGCAGCACTAGCCAGAGCATTTTGTATTGTTGCAACTCGCACCAGTTACGAAAATCTGGACGACCCGCGCATTTCGAATGTTCCAGGCAAATATATGGATGAAAATCAGGCTGGAAATCATCACAAGTTGACACAGGCACTTTTTTAGCCAGTCTGCCTGTGAACGTCGATTTCGTAACTATTCTTGCCCTGGACTAGCACCGTAATCACAAAGTCACTAAAGGCACGTCTTAGTATGAGCAAAATTAGTCGTGACAATAAATTTGAGGGATGTATTTTCGCCCACAAAATTGTATTTAATTACAATTGTATTTGAAATACCCATGTTTTAGTATTTAAATACACAATTTAAATACATTACTCAATTTGTAATTAAATACAAATGCAAAAATACACAAAGTATTTGAAATACGTATTTCAGATACTTGTATTTGAAATACTGCTTATCCCTGACTGGGTGCAATGTACCTGAAGTAAAGTACGATAAATACAATGTACTTTCAAAGTAAAGTACATGTAGTTTAACAGAATCGTTCATGATGCCCTTTCATTTTTCTAAACAGTGATTTTTTAACTAATATGCATCGCCCAGGGGTAATCAGGCGGGTATGACCTATTTTCAAAAACAGCGACAAATATTTGATAAAGCCAAGTGGCCACAGAGTAGTTCCCTTAGGAATGGAGCCAAATTCAGAAGTCCCTCCTCTGAATTTGGCGCCGCTTATTGGATTGCTGCACCCAGGGGGGTTAAATGTACTAACAGTGATCATGACGTCAGCGACATAGCTTCCGCAAGCAATCCTCTCATAGAGGAGTGTCCTCTCCTTATTTAAACAAACAGTAAATGTACAAGCGAACTGGTGATAATTAATCATAACGTAACACCTGAGACTGTGGTGCAAAAAAAATTAAGGAACTTTCAAGTCGAAGGTAAAGACAAAAGAAAATGTCTCAAAACATTGTGAGGTTCTTCTCTGTTGTCTTTTTCTTTGACCTGAAAGTTTATTGTTTCCGCACAACAGTCTCAGGTGCTCCATTGTGATTAATTTTGCTCTCCTCGCTCGCGCGGACCGAGCGAGATGTAGCGGGAGTTCAAAAAGCTACGCGAAAGCCACCCCCAGAACAAACGGAGCAATGCGTCGTCTGCGCACGTTTCTGGTGAGAATATCCCACCCGGTATTTTGTTCGAAGTTGACATCATTTCGTGATACAAATTTAACAAAACCAAATTTGGGGAATGTACTTTGAAGTCGGGAATTGTACTTCCCTCGAAAAGTACCAGAAAAAAATTACTTTAAGTAAAGTACAAGTACATAGTAAGAGAATGTACTTCAAGTAAAGTACAAGTTTTCTAAACCTACTTGAAGTAGTACTTTAAGTACATTGTACTTGAAGTACTTTCCAACACTGTCTCTCAACGTTCAAACGTTCAAACGAACGCTGTCGTTTGAACGGCCAGCGTTCAAACGACAGCGGCCCGTGGACCAAACGTTGACCCGGTAACTGCGATAAGAAGTGCACACCTGAAAAGACGTTTAAGTTTGAAGGTTGCTTTGGGTAACTTCGGTGTAAACAGTAGATATAAGGAAATGATGATAATTGTTACCAGTGGCCATCACCGACTTGTTATGCCTGTTTCACTCAGTCCGATTCTGCTTGCGATTTTCAGGATCGATGTTGACATCCCAGCTACGGTTCAGGTTTTTGCATCCCGAGCGATGTCATGACTGAAAATAGTGAGCAGAACCTCACCATGTGAATCAGGCTTTAGCGTCCATTCCGCGGCGTCCACGCGGAACGAATTGCGGCATGTTACATTATTCACGCCGAGTTTTGCGGTGTAACGAGCCTCATTAATTTCGCTTAGGCCGCTCAAGTAGTCAGAAATTGCCAGGAAGACGTAGAGCCAACAGTTCCAACGCGAAAAAGAACGCGGGGACTCACACCCACGCCGAAAACATCCTATTCCAATGGTTTGTATATGAGCGACGGCGAGCTTCTTGTCCACACCCTCATCGCGCATGCGCGGCGTTGGTGGCGTCCGCTAGGGGCGCTCCGGTTTGTTTGTAAACATGAGTTCGTGTACATTGATTCATACTTAACCTGCTGCACGGTAGGCAATACTTGGTTCGGGCTTCTAATGAAGCAAAACGACATTTGCTATTTTGTGTATTAAAGAAATCACGTGAGCCCATAGCTTAAAAATAAAGATATATGCTCAATTTATTATGAGGTACAAAGGCGCCTAGGTGGAGGGATAGTGCCTTCTACCATTTAGCAGCTCCTACAATTATGTAGGTAGAAAAGCAATTTTTAGCGAAGTAAACCGCTTTTAACATGCATGGCAACATATTTTTGTCATGTTACCCATGAATTTAAAAATACGATTATGTGTTGTTTAAATATTGGTTTTAGTGAAAGCAGTTGTCTGTGTGGGCATCAGAAGGGTCTTAGTATTATCTTTGAAAATATTTGCAAGACCTTCATTTGTATGACTTTAGCTTGGTAAGTATTTTAACAACACAATGCGGAGCGCAAGGTCATCGGCTTCTAGCAAACCGAGCTCTTATTGCTTGATTGAAACAAAATAGTGGGTAGACCTCAAGGCATCAAGGATTGAGGTCTACTCACTATCTTTTCAATCAAGGCCAATCAGAGTTTGGCGTCGTTCTGACGTCACCTCAACTCCTGCAAAAGAAGCAGACGAACTTGCACTCCGCATTGCCTTATTCGGTCTAACATGTCTGCGTGTTCGTCACTCAAATTACCAAAAAAAATATTTTGTTCGAGATTTAAACTTAATAAAGTGTGCCATATATCTTGAAATAGATCTTCTATTTATGTATGCTCCAGCGCAGGACTAGGGGTCATATTATATATTCGTTTTTATTTGTTATTATTTTTCTAGATGTAAAAACGTTTCTAAATTTTAGGTATTGCTGTTACCATATTGAGAAGCACGTATGGTCCCACTAGTAAATCACATATTGTCATAATCATACAGCAGATTTACAATAGGGTAACCTTCGGGCACACCATCTGTAAACCATCTCCCCTGTCACGGATACAATCTATGTTTATCAATGTTGAAAATGCTGAACTTGATATATACAGTGACATTAAGGTGTTCAGGAACCAAGTGAATGTGCTTGTTGCCGAACAGTAAATCTTGTGTGTTTGTTGCTTTGTGTTTGAAACCTGCAATTGTGTTTTTCTTTTTCTTTTCATATTCATATATTTGTGCACCAAAGAGGAGACCTGCATGGTTGTTTTCTGGAACGTAAAATAAACAAATGAATAAAATGTAGACGTATTGGTTACCATTTACACTACGAAGAAAGACCAGTTGCACCCCAGGCTGACTGGAAGCCTTAGATCTGTAGAAGCTGCGAAGAACGCAACGCCTGCCAGTCTCTGACCGAGTAATAAAATTGATTTATAATTTTCAAACTGCTTTACATGCACCTCTAATAAAGATACTCAAATCAAACGATGGTCTTGGTTAAATATACAAGACACACGATTATATGTTTGTTTAAAATTGTAAAGTTTTGTGTTTGCCAGCTTCCACTAATACGCGACAGTACGATAGAGGTAAAACTGCCTCTGAATTCACTCGGCATGTAAATGGTAATACGGCGAGCAAGTTTGTCCGCTTCTTTCACACCTCGTGCGATTGCTTATCCGCGCGCTTGGCTGCCTCCTCATTGCGCGTTCCCTGCGCCTTCTTTATGTTGCCTTTTGTTGGTTCTAATTAGACAAAAACACATGAAATACTTTTTTGCCCTAATATTGCCGGTCCGCGGATCCACAAACGAATCTTCTGCCGTGTTCCGCGGTCGAAAAAATGAGAAAAAAAAAAACAACAAAAAACGCAATGGCTTTATTAGCAGACATACTCTCCAAAGAGATGCCAGTATACCAGTGGGAACAAACATTTCTATTCCAGTACATTGCCATGAACCCTCTTAATATTCGTAAAAGAAAAAGATCATTTAAAAAGCTTAAAGAGTATTTTTAGATTGTGTTAAGATTCCTGGTGTGACTGATGATCTCATTGGTTCTGTGTGCACAACTCCGGCATTCCGTTTGTTTTGAGCAATTGGATATTTCTTCCTGGAGCTCTAAAGCTGTAGTATCCCATTTCACCTTGTTGTGCTTGTAGGCCGCACTTTGCTTTATTATAGACGGTCAAAATTTTGCTGCATGAATTTGACTTAAAGACGCACCGCTTGTTTATCATAGACTGGAGGAACAATAAAGGTGCCCGCGCGTGGTCGCAAAAAACATCTGAAAAAAAAAAAAGAACGACTTTTAGAAACATTTACTATACTGCGGTTTGCCCTCAAGCTAAATTCCACGAAAAATAACATACCCCTTTGTTCCATCCCTGTAGGTTACTTGTACTTTCAGTACTGTAAACTGTCGGATTATATTGGCTCCTTAATGATACCATATGGTGGTGATTCCGTTAGATTATATAATAGACCATTTTTAAAGGACCACCTCTACACTAGCTGCAGCGTGGATAATCCGAGGCCACCATATCTTGGGCTGGCACACTGAGCATGCATTGGACACGTGGTCTTTACGTTAGTGTTCGGCACGTGCTCGGATATAACTGTATTTTGCAAGAGTGTTTTGTCAGAAATCGGCGTGAACTCGTATTCAGTCACACGCTTCGCGCAGGAAACGATGACCAAAATATGTCCGCCGCTTGTACTGCGCATTAGTGATGTTCTCATGTGCCGCATTAGTTTAGCTTTAACGACTTTTATCAAAACAAATCTGTAAAGTATAAACAAAACACCCGGTATATAACTCTTATCCGAGGTCAAACAATAAAAGGGTTACGAGGGTTAAATAGACGGTTCATATACTGATATCTCTGCTTTAAATCGAAATTTGAGAGAAAAGGTTCGATGCATGTCATTCAAACTTGCCTTAAAACTATATATACCTCGTTGCCGAGGCTAAGATTCAAAAGAGTTACAACGCAAATGAACTGTTTATATACTGTTATGGCTTATTTCCGCTTCCTATACCAGATTAAACGACCACTACACTATTTAGCCCCGGGGAAACTGAACTCCCAAAAAACATGTTTTAATAGCTGCTAGAACACGTATGTCAATTAATAAGCTCCCTCCAAAAAACTGATATTATTTTCAGCACAATATTTACGCTGTGAGAATCATTTTGAGTTATGAACGATTTGGAAAAAAGCTGCTATTTCGAGTCGTCAACCGGGAAATACATGGCATGTTTTGGAATTGTTTACTTGGGACTCGCATCATAAAGAGTGCGCTTATTTTTTATTTTTTTTACTCTGGGGGGAGAGGGGGGGGCAAGCACATTTTTGTATGCATGTTTATACAGCCGAAAGTTAGTCTGCCTCAGTGGGCGTCTGGTGTCTCAGCTCTAGATGGCACATTTAGCCAGTGCGGTACAACCGGTAGCCTGGGGTCTTTAACGTGCACCACGCAGTAGGGATACACGACAGCACGCCGGTGCAATGCTCATCCAACATGGAGGGCTGTTGTTCGTTTGACGGAATACGTGTAAAACGTTTTGGGGCGAGAAAATAAGTGTTATATTGGTGAATGATACAGATACCATCGGTATGTATTTGTTAAAAAGCAATAAAGTGGGTCACCAACAAGGTATGGGGAACAGACCTAGGAGCTGCTTTTATCAAAGGCGCTATGCGGCCACAGCTAAACACCGTTGGAATAAAAAAAAAAAAAACCCTATTAAATCCACGCGATATTACAACGAATATTAACTTTAATATTCTGACGCGACTTTGTTGTATCGTGTCCATTTTGTGTATTTTTCTGGTGATCTCTACTTCACACTTGACCACGTGCACATGAATAGATTTAAAAGTGACCTAGTTTGTAAAATAAAATACTTTTTCTTGAGGAACGAAGAGCGTGTTTTGGGGTTTTCGCTTTGAATTCAATCAACATGCTTCCTTCTTCCGGTCGCGATGTAGAAAGTGGTTTATTTTAACTGCTCTATCATCACGCTAATATTAAAGGCAATAAAATATATACTGCGCTAGATATATTTTTTACGCTATAGATATAAACTTTTTAAGATACCAACTCATTTGTCGTATGAAAATCGAACCATGTTGAGCCGGCCACAAATTGTTTTTTTGTTTTGTTTTTTAGAGCGATGCATTTTTTGTTGTAGGTTTGTGCTGCCCTTGGTAGATGTTACCAGCTTTCAGAGGTGGTCCATAGCAGCTGTTATTTTCATAGAGATATTTTAATGTCACACTGCGGTACACCTGGCTACAAAACAGCCAAGAAGAGGTAGCAATCTAGGACACGACCAGCAGTGATTAGTGTCAAAATTGTTATCAAACCACATTAGTGAACTAAGACGTTCGCTGAAAAGTCTTACTAATGGAGCATCCTGGCTGAGCTTTGGCGCCATTTGGGTAGAAATCAACATGCCCCACAGGCCTCAGCAAGCCCAGTTCCGGATAACCAATTCTGTATCCACCACTTGTATGAATAACGTCAACAAATGCGGCATCATCCTTGCAAACGTAAACATCGGTGTCGTTGAAGAGTGGACCAGCAGGGTCCAGTGCTGCGCAGAGAATTCTCAACTTAATTGGAAGCCCCGGCAAAACTTGCAGCTCGAAACATTTCATAAAAAAAAGACTAGATATGTCTTAGTGTATAATACGACGGGAACAAACAGGTCTCTATATGCCTTTACTCGCGCTTTTGCATGTGACTCCATTGTTGAAGGTTGCAAAGATCTTCGAACGGAGGCTTTGCACCTGACACTGCATTGAGTCACCTTAATGATATGTGAACAACAGCTATAGTGGCCGATTTGTTATTGTTTGATTAAATGTCGACTGTTACCTACTTTCCGATCGTTTTTAGTCATTTGCTTGTTTGAAAGGCTCTCACAACAAATCAAACAGTATTGCTTTCTCGCCATGGTTGTTGAAATCGACTGTATCTTTTGCCACATTCAATCGATAACAACTTGAACATTGCTGCTTTAGATGCTTTTTGAGTAATATGTATAAAAAAAACTTTAACGTTAGAAAACAAAACGTTTTAGGCTGGCATTACTTGTTTGTTCACGCCTTTTCACAACAAAGATCACTTGTACGAGCACGTCGTCTATAATTTTATCCGGTAATAATCAGGCCATTAAGAACCCGCAGAGCGAAACATGGAAGTTAATACCAAACACAGCGAGTTTGATAGATCCGGCAACGTTGACACGTACTTTCAATATATTTTAGGCTAACGGATTCTAACCGCGAAGTGACCTGCGATAAATTTACCAGTAATCCGCCAGATCGTCGTTCCGGTTCTCTTCCTAAAGTTCCTTCCAAAGAAGCCTGCAATTTGGGCGCCGAAGCTGAATCCGATAATGTGGACGTCGGCAGGATGTAGCGTAAAGCGGTAGCGATTCATCAGGTGCATCGTCAGTAGCGCAATTTCTCTTCCCACCAGGGCTGTGTTAGCTGCACCGCGATTGTAGAGCTGTGTCGAGCCCCCGCTCCAGTCAACGACGATGACGTTACAGTCCTCCTGTAGTTCAGCGATAAATGTAATCAGAACGCATGATTTTGCATAAGTTTGTGTTCGAATTTGCGCCACAGATTAGTATTAAAAGAAACACCAAAGTATCTTAGCACGTTGGTTAGGTGCACCGCTGAGTACTACGCTTATAAGAAAAGCTTTTATATATCACTCTAAAAAAGCCTGTGCATCCGCTTTCCCTCACAACACTCGGAGAGCCAATCACGGCAACTTAGAAAGGCAGCTCGGCGAATGACGATGCCGCAACATATGTTTAGCCCAAAAAACTCCGTCTGAGTTGTGACATTAAGCAATGCAAAACGTCACGCTTGCATTGCCTAATGTCACAACTCAGACTGCGTTTTTTGGTCTAAACGTATCTTTCGCCATCTTTATTCGCAGAGCTGCCTTCGTAAGTCGCCATGATTGGCTCTCCGAGTGTTGTGAGGGAAAGCGGATGCACAGGCTTTTTTTAGAGTGTAGACGAAAAGGAGCATGTGCAAGAGAATGAAACCTGTTTTGATCATTCTGATTGACTCATTGAGCACCGAATTTGTCGTGCGTGCATTACCCGTGCGTTATAATTTGCTATGCTTTGATACGATGCGCTTTGGGTGGTTTCGGATGCGCTGTACGCACGACATACGCTTGTGTTCTCCTGGTTCATCAGAGTGACCAACACTAGTTTAAATTTATTCAGGAGTGGACTGTTTCACGAGCACGCTTTAATTAAATGTTTTTGATCGGATCGGTTCTGGTTTTTTTGTGGGTGCGTTTAGGGCCTTCAATTCCCAGTGCTCTTGGATTGCCAGAAGCGCCCTGCGATAACGGGTGTAATCGCGAGTCTAGAAGGTTTATCGCGCCTTTAACGCTACTGTCCGAAATCGTGGCGTCATACGCCCACTGCGTCATCCCTTGGTGTGCTACGAGCCACACCGTGATATCATGAGTCCACGCGTGGAGCTACTTTTTGTTATTCGGGAGCCAGCTGCGCATACCGACAATATGCTGCCGACAGAATGTATGCTGGATTCAGTATGACTCGCCGCCGATGGTCGCCATTGCGTGGATTATCACATGCTACCGTAGGCGGCCGTCGGCGGCAATAGACCGATCTCACCAGCCAGTTTGACTACACCACCGCGCTGCCGCAATGCATCTAGGGAACGTTAGTCTTTCTGCACGCGCGACAACCGTGCTGGAGCATTGCGCGAGTGGAGCACGAGACGGCACGAGGTCCGCATGCAGGGCCGTCTGCCTCCTGTGAACTAAAGTTATGGCGGCGTCACGCGTGCGCCGAACGCTTAGTGAGATCGGTCTATTCATACTTAGTTCAGCTGCTTTCGCCCTGTTTCGCCTCCTCCTTGTGGAGCCGAGCGTAGACTGCGGATTGCGCGGTCCGGGGTTCGATTTCCGCTGAGCCCCTGGTGACTTGCTGGTTGCGATAAATTGTTCCTATTTACAATTGTGTATCAATCACTACGACTTAGTATGCTCTCTATATGCTTTGGATGCTTATTCATTACCTGCTACGAGCTGTGCACACTTTATGCTGCCTTGGCCTGCGTCTAACGCTTTTTCGTCCCACTCGAACGTCACACATTTCGCATAGAATCCAGCCCATAAACACATTCTGAGTTTAAAACTATCCGGGGTTGTCTTGAATATAGTGCCTTACAAACCCCCTGACTAAATATTTAAAAAAATGGTAACTTAATTGCGGGTATGTGCAACATGCCCGAATGAACTAGAAAGCCGGTGCTTAATGCAAACATGTACACGTTATAAAAATAAAATTGAAATAAAGTAACTAAATACCATTACTCGTTACTCACCCAAATAATAACGAAGAACAGTACTCGCTACTGCAATTCAAAAGGAACACGTTACATCAGCTTGAAAATAAAGTGTTATTTTCTCGTTACTCTCAGTGTGTCGTTTGTTATAGAGCAGTAGCCTCTTCCAACATTTTTGACGTTAATAATTGCTCTCTAATGCGTTCATATGTTCATACAAAGATAACTGTGGATACACCGACGTAGCTTGGGCACATATTGTTGTGCTCTATCTAGCGTGCTCTAACTGTGCAAATTACATGCGTGAGTTGAGGTAACAACTAGGTTGGTCACTTCTGTTGTACACATTCCTATCAAAAAGTAAGTAAATACGATTTTTCCTTACTTTGTCAAAAGTAATGAAAATACGTTACTCGTTCATTGTCTCAAAAAGTAATTGGGTCGTTACGTCGTTACCAAGAAAAGTAACTAAATAGAACTAATGCGTTACGTTGAAGTCTGTTCTGATGTGGCGTAGCTAATGTTAAATTTGTCAAAATCACCGTGAATTTACCAAAAGAAACTCCAGGAGATAGGTAAGGAATGAATACACCAAATGTTGGTTGCGTTTTGTTGCTATAGTTAATGGTTATGGCGTAACTGATCACTGAACTGATTGTATAACGCCGCAAAGCCCTAAATAATTTATCATATTTGGTTTCGGTTTCGATTCATGGAAGCCGAGATCTCAAGTTGACGTCAAAGATCATCCGGAAGTGTATGTATGACGATGCTTGCGTGTGCCTCAAAATTGCGACGTGGCACAGGTGTGCGCTCTTTTTATCAAAATCAGAGCAAACGAAGAAGCATCCAACTGTTCACCTATTGTAGGACAGACGGCAGCCGTTATAGTTGCACCCCCTGGTCTTGACGTCATCTCGAGATACCATTTCCAAGCAACCAAAATTGACAACCCTAATTAGAAAGAATGCGATTGTATATCATCTACGGCAATTCGGCGTGCTCCGTGCTGTATTCTAAGATTATCGATATCACTCCCATGATTTAGAATAATAAAATGCAGCAGAAACATTCGACGTCTTTATTCCACTTTAAAGAAATCGATCATTCGTCTTCTTACCAAACGACGTATTATGTCAGAGAGTTAAGTATAGGACTGAAAGGTTGAACCATAGGGACGTTATCCGAGACGGGTTTTGTTGCAGGACGACACAAGCGCATAGAAGTACTGCACTTTAACCCGATTCTTGAGTGAAGCCATAGGCTGAACCTGGAGTTTACTTGAACCCACCTATTTCGTTGAAACTTCGAGTTTGAATGACGTACCTCTTTAAGAAGAGCGTCTTTGATAGCCTGTGCCCATGAAACGAACGCGTTCTCCAGCCATCCATGTACCAAATACTTGAGCGGTTTTCTACGCGCGAACTGGTAGAGGTGCTTGGTACTTGATCTTGACTTGTAGTCCACTGCTATGGGAATTACTCGGTTTTTCAAGGAATAAAGAAAGAACTTGGTGTTCACAACTTGGGGATCGTCAGGGAAAGCTAAAGGGTGCGTGAGTCGGTCTCCAAAAGTGAAACAGCCCACGTAGTTGTAGCAAACTTGATGTTTTCGATGTATTTTTATCTGTAACGTAAACACTTCCTTGAGACCTATGTATTTAGCACCTTGTCAATTTCTATTCCTCGTGGATAAGGGTCTAATTTATTTTGAAATATGTGAATACAATTTCATACCTCTCAATTATTTTTTGTGTTTGAATTAAATCCTCAATGAGGCTAATAATATACAAGTGAAGTATTCGTGATAAGAATTACCAAATCTAAGCTTGCTGGGGCTGTAGCAATAAGAACACCTAGTTCACGGGCCTGTGCACCGACCTTCCCCTGCTATAGTGGCGCCTCAGAATATAAAGGTAACATACTTGAACGTTACCTGTCAAGATAATCTTGTATAAATAGCTCCATGTATGAAACAATAAAATTAATTGAATCGGAACTAAAGTGAAAAGGAAAACATATGCACCAATTCATTTAACATTCTCACTAAAAATTTGATCGTCTGTGTGATTTCTTGCATAGTACAGTGCAAGTTTTTCGCCGTTTTAAAAAGAATTAACTTTTCGAAAAACGTGAAGGAAAACGCGAGTTTCGGCTTGAAACTAAAATCGGCACGGTGATTTTGTACTGGACGTTTCACGTGTCGACGTCGTGATCCCGACGCAGACTAACGTTTTACGTCAAGACGTTTCTTTCTTTTTTTTTTTTCTTGTAATTTACCGAGCTTACTTTGAAAATTGCAATGATTGACTGAACAAGCCTTTCGAGGAAAATTAGACGCCCTAAAGTATTAGTATGTGATCGACGGTAGGTACTTTATTAAAAATTATCAATGACAAAACTAAGCACGAATACAATATTGAGTGTCTTATACTCGAGCAAGAATATTCATGTAAAACATCCACAGTGTCTACAATATCCGTTGCTCTGTAAACCATGAAGTGTGATTTGCAGTTGATTCATACTTAGTAAAATCAACAGAGCGCACAAAAAGCGAAGAGGATGTAGAAGTGTGTTCACAAGACAAGCGCTGACTCTTAACTGAAGTTTTAATGGGAAAGAAACAGTGAAATAAATAACACTAAATGAAACCATCATGGCCAATCAGCACATTCCCAGATATTTAATATCTCTCTGCTATGCAGAAAGATCGAAGTTTGGCTTACACAATGGCCAGTTCCTTTTTTTTATTGTGTACGCCTATAAAATGTTTCTGGTCATTTGATCCTCACCTCTTGCGACAATCGTGACGTGATGGACGTAGGGGTGGCAACCAAAATCTGCGAAATGAAAAGGCAAGTGCCTCTTGCTGTTGACCATGAAGCTGAAGCATGTTCACGCGCACTCTCATTTATATATCTGCGAGTTTGGTCAACGAAAATTCTACCGCACGTCAGCGGATTCTAGCAGACGACACCTCCAATCCCAACAAGTTTTACTACAATGTTTGCTACCATGATTAGACCTCATGTTGGCATTTGCAGGCAGTCACGTCGGTTGGGCATGTAACCCGCGTTCGAAGATGGGTATCCTCCTCTTTGACTGCAAGCGTCCTCGGAGAAGTCGTGCACCCACGCAATGCACGACAGTTTCCGCACGCAGCTGGATCGACTAGTCGCGGCCGGATTTCCAACATCAATGCTGTTACTTGTGGCGGAGACGCTGCTTAAGAGGGGAGGGGAGAGTAACAGTTTCAGAAAGAAAGGCATAGCAAAAGACCGCTAGTCATTTCCCATACCTTTATAAAATATCCCACAATCTAAAGATAGTGGAGCAGCGATACGGCGTACCTGTGGCGTTTTCTGCACCGTACAAACTTGCGCAACTGTGCCCAAAGGTAGCCAATAAGAGAGGAACGAAGTGTATTTGTTCAGTCAAGTATAATAAAAAATATGTGGTGTGTACAATAGATGTCAAGTGCAGGATTCCGCTGACGTGCGGTAAGATATACGTTGGCCAAACTGGCCGATGTATCAATGAAAGACAGCGTGCTTGGTGCTTGGTGGTTGTGGTCAACCACCAAGCATGTGTGGTTGACCACAACCACAAAGCACCAAGCATGTTGTGAGACAACATGCTTGGTGGTTGTGGTCAACAGTGAGGGGCACTTGTCTCTTCATTGTGCAGATTGTGGTCGCCAATCCGACGTGCATAACGTCACGATTGCTGGAAAGGGCGAGGACCAGATAACCGGAAAAATTTCAGAGGCGTACACAATAAAAAACAAAAAAACAAAAAAACAAGGGACTGAGCATTGCGTAAGACAAACGTCGATTCATCTGCAGACAAGGGAGATTAGTTATCCGGACACATGATGACTGATCATGATGGTGTACTTTGCTGCTGTTTATTCCCGTGTTTGATTTGTCTTGAAAACTTAAACTAAGAGTCAGCGCTTGTCTTGTGTACACCATTCTACTGTGTAGTCTTTTTTTTGGGGGGGGGAGGGGGGGGAGGGGGTTGGGGGGTAGGGGGTGCTATCGTGCTTTTATTAAACTTAGCAGGCCGATACACAACAAGCCAGGCAAGGGTAGGCTGAGGAAATCAGCTTCATAAACAACTACCGTAGACACACTTGCATTGCACATGCGCGCAACGTGGTGATATATGTTTACTATTGCCCTAGAAGTTATTTTCTTTATTAGATATTATTAGCACTTTTAAACGTACTTCCGTACTGAAGATCTTTCAGCTCACCGGTGGATTGAAGTTAAACTTTCCCTTCGAGGTAACGGTAATTATTCCCTGCAACATGAGCAGTGCTGACAGAAAGAGAGAGAACGTGTTGTAACCGTCAGTTGATGAAACATCAAAAGCGCCACTAAGAGCAAAGCGCAATCTGTGGTGCTCTTTCTTCTCTATTTTCTTTTACAACTGGATGGCTTTTGTCGACTCAAAAATATTAGTGTGCTGGTGGAATACGTTTACATGTGAAATTATGTTTTAAATATTGGGTGTTAAATATTTGCAAAATGCAAAACATTATATCACCAGCAAATAAATTCTCGAAGCTCATTAAATGAGTTTTCGCTGTCTACCTTTAGCTAAGCTTAGGTTAGGCTATGTTAAGTTAGGTTAGATTAGGCTAGATTACTTTAAGCTATGCTACTTTAAGATAGGCTCGTGTATTAAAATTAAAATTCAAATTAGACGTTTTTAGTGATTTATACAGCGTAAGGTCGGTCTGACAGTATAGGAGCGACACTGGTTTACACCGTAGATGAGCGATTTCGCCAGTGGACCACGACTGCTAACCTGGTGTCTTAAACGTGCACCACGCAGTAGTGATACACGACCACACGCCTGTACGATGCTCATCCAGATCGAAACGGGCAGGGGCGTGTATTAAAGTAGAAATAAAAGCTACGACAATATTGCCACGCGCGTTGCCGAGCGAGCGCGTGCGTGACCGAGTGGTTAGCGTACTAGCTGTCGCGCGAAGGATCCGGGTTCGATTCCAGGGAAGGGTCCATCAGATTCGCGAGCCAGCAGAGCGAGTGGTGGTCCGTGACCACGCGAAAAGGACTTCCATACAATTATTGGCGGAACTTTGTTATTGCCCAGACGGCAGCAAGGCACTCCTTTTCAGTCGTTGAATAGTTCTTCGCCTTAGACAGCGTCCGACTCGCGTATGCAATGACTGACTGTGCGCCGTCTTGTATTTGGACCAGTACCGCGCCAAGTCCGGTGTTACTGGCGTCCGTGTGGATCTATGTATCAGCAAACTGGTCGAAATGGTGAAGACTCGGGGGTGTCTGGAGTCTTCGTTTGAGCTCGTCGAATGACCGCTGGTGTTCTGTCCACTCGAACTTTACGGTGTCCTTCGTGAGATGCGTCAGTGGTGCGGACAGCTTGGCGAAGCCTCAAACAAAGCGCCTGTAGTAGGCACAGAGTCCGAGAAATCTTCTCAGGGCCTTTTTGGCAGATGGCGGCGTAAATGCCGCTACGGCGCGGGTCTTCTAGGGGTCAGAGAGAACACCTTTGTTGTTTACGACGTGTCCAACGAACTTGGACACGTCGTGAACAAGAACAAGGCGACGTCGACCGGAACTCTCGGCGGGGCGCAGGCTCGGGGAATTGGGGTAGTCGCAGCAGGTACTCGTCGATCTCGCTAGGACGTTCACCATGACGGGGGCTCGGGTCGTTCGAATGGAACCCACGTAGCCTGACTCGTCGGTATGGGCATCGGCGGTAGGTGTGGTCTGCTTCCCCGCAATGGAAGCACAGAGGGCGTCGGTCGGGTGTTCGCCACACGTCGGTCTTCCGGGGTGCGCGAGGCTTCGTGCGGGCGTACTGCACCGGGTCGTCGTGGCGTCTTTCGTGCTGCGGCGCAGGAGACTGACGTCGGGGCGGCGCGACATAAGTGCGAGGAGGAGGCGGTGGCCGTCGGGCCACTGCGGCGTAACTCAGCGTCGGTGGTTCCGGAGCGGTACTGACGAGAACCTCTGGCTACAGCGCTTGCTGGACTTTTTTCCTGACAATCTCGGCGATTGAAGTCGAAGCTGGGCTTGCGGCGGCAGGTTGAAGCTTTTTGATCTCCTCCCGGACGACGTCCCGGATGATCTCGCGGATGTCCGTGGTGTTGCAGCCGGAAGACGAAAAGGCAGCGACGCCGGGAACTGGGTAATAGTGGGCTGCACGTGCATGAACGGCACGTTCGATGTTCGTGGCCTCCGTGATGAAGCCTTCGATGGTGGTAGGCGGGCTCCGAATAAGGCCTCCGAAGATGTTTTCCTTCACGCTGCGCATCAAGACCCGCAGCTTTTTCTCTTCGGGAGCGTATGGGTCGGCGCGATTCACCAGGTGGAGAACGTCTTCGACGAAGCTTGTGA